GCTTCGTCACTATGGATTTGTCTGGTGATTGCTGGGAGGTGACTGAAACCTGGTAAACATTACCAGACCTACCAAGCTCTTGGGCACAGTGAGACTGTATTGGTGAGCACAGTGCCCTGTCAGTCTTGCTGCTGCCCTCAGCTCCTAGTTCTCCTTACCCTGGGGAACAGTCCATCGTAGTTCTTCTCTGACAAATTCCACTTGTGCAACAGACAGTAACTCAGCTGCTAATGTCCAAAAAAAACAAAGAAGGTTTCACTTGACATGCAACACAGAAAATAAACAATGCTTTAAAACCAAAGAAATATTCTAAACACTTCACTTTTTTTTTTCATTTTTGAAAATGGTGAGCAATCCCTATATTATGCAAACAGCAATGTATTTCAGCTGATACTCGAACTTACACAAATTAAGTTCATAGTTTCTATCTCTTAGGTAGATAAAATGTATACATGTTGTATTATTTCCTATGTGGCATCTTTTTAACAATGCTAAAGGCACTCTAGTTATTATTCATTCAACAGATAAAGTTGACTCTCATGATGATACTAGAAACATAAAGTCCTTTCAGTGACAGGTTCTCCAAGTAATCTTGATAAAATGAAATGTAATAATTTCAAATGCGATTAAATAAACTATGCCTCTTTTACAACAATGAAACAGGATTCATAAAGATTATTTAAGAGATTACATGACTCATCCAATGCTACCAACACGTGCTTGTATACCTAGACCTCAGTATTCACTAGATACCTTTAAAATGATAACAGAGCAGCATTCGAGACAGTTGCTGATTGATAGGCATTGACTAGGACTCTGGTGTTAGAGCTGTACACAAACCTTTTCTTCTCCAGCCCTAAAAAAACTCAAACTACAATGAATAAAAATAAAATGGATGCTGTTGCACTCTATGTGTCAGACTATGAACTCTTTGAAGAAAGAACCATAGTTTGGTTCTCTACGGATCTCAGCACAACTAGCAGTTACTGTAAAACAGATAATAAATGATACAGCTATCCAGAAAAGAGTAATTCTCTGTCAATTAAATGTGGTTTCATTCTGAGTTGGAAAGAAAAACAAGTATCATCAAATTGTGTGAGTACAGAAAGTTTCTGAAATTTCTCACTGATGTTCTGCTTGGTCTCTTAGCCTTGGAAGCCAGCAGTGCTTTCAAGCTGGGCACTGACAGGCTGTATGTGCTAAAGATTTTAGCTTCTGCCAGCTCTGGGGAGGGCTGCCAAGAGGCCCAGCAGCCCAGCTGGTGGGATGCCACGAAATTGCTTTTTCTGCCTTCAGTCTGTGATCAAACCAAGTGATCTCTGCTGTATATTTTTATTTTGATGAATGCATGTTCTGCAAGAGAAACTATTTCATTAGAAAAATTCTGACCCATGTAAATTCATAGCTTCAACAAGGACCATTCCCATTCTTCTTTCATATGTATAAATGGAGTTAAATATATGTAGTCATACATTACTTATTAATCCTTTGTGGTCTTACTCCAGTTATTAACTGCTGCAATTGGTCAGTGTGGAATGATATCAGTAACCAGAGACCTCCGTACACCATAAAAATAGCATTCCTTCCTTAATGATCTATTTTCCTATTTTCAAGCAGAGTTTTTAATAAAATGTTTTTAAATAAAGAAGAAACAGGACTTTATAGTCAACATACATTCTCCATTAAGAAGTCATATGTTTTCCATTAGCTGAGCAAAGAAGTTGCAAGATTTTATTTGCTCTGCAGTTGTAAAGAAATTTTCTGGTCCTATTTACAAAAGAGAAAGTCCTTACCCTCAACACCTATTCTGCTTCTAAAGATAAACACTGACCCAGTGAAGAAGAAAATAAGGCAATCATACTGATGTTATCATCTAGATTTCATATTCTCTGAAGGTTCATGTAAATACGTCTTAAAACCATCTTAAAATCTCTTTCTTCTCAGTGGCTTATGCTAAAATCCCTGGTGAGCAGCCAACACAGGCACACGAGAATCATTAATGTGAAGCACTTGAATGCAATACTGAAACTTGCATTCAAATGCAGAGACTTGCTAATGGTTTTTACTTTAGCTGGTTTGTGCAGCAGCTCAGCCAGTGTGTGTCAACTCTTCTAATTAAATTGAAAGCTAAATAGCAATGCAGACCTTGTTATATGCCACTATAAGTAGAATTCCTACTGTGCATCTCACTCAAGAGCCCAGTAGATGTCAATCATAGTTCAACCTTATGATTCTACCCTCGGTTGTTAATTAACTGTCAGAATGCTTCAATCCAGTTTATTAGTAATATCTGAGGGATTTGCCGTGCCTTCCACTTGCACAGATATTATTTTTGGGACACTTTTAATCCCATGTGAGTGCACAAACCAAAATAAGAAGTAGAAATATAATTTTCGGTACCACACAGGGAAGGGGAGGGTCTTTCCTGATTGCTTAAGTGCTATTTGAATAGGACATGGACAAAACAGAATCAAAGCATTGACTTCACATGCCACATGAGTCCTGCAACACTGGTCAAACATAAGCAAAGGAACACAATGCATCATTAAGGATGATACTATAAAGGACTATTAGCCACTAAAACTCTCTTTAGAAACACTTTTGCTCTTCTTCAAGAAGGTCCATGACTAAATCCCAGATTAATTTTGAACATGCAAGAGAAATCAGCTTCTCAGAGACACCAACATGTGTGCTGTTCTACATCAGATTTCACTGGTAGTAAAAGAGTTTCACAAAAATCTCTTTGGAAAGAGCATTAGACCACATCCATTTCTCTCCTCAGCATCACCTGAGCCTGCAATCAGTACCGTGTGAGCTTTCTTGAATAAAGATGAACTGTTCAGCTAACAAGCATTTGCACCTGCAGATCCCACAAACAACTTGCCCATAAAAAAACCCAGCAGTTTTAAGTGGGTAAGGCCTATGTCATGCATAAAGGCAGTTTAAAGAGCAAACAGCTTGAGAAGAATCATAAAATCATTTAGGTTGGAAAAGACCTTTAAGATCATTAAGTCCAACTGTAAAACTGAATTATCTATTGTATGATTTACTGTGATTTAGAGGAGTGGATAGAAAGGTGTTCAGGTACTGCTCTGTTCATTTTAAAAACACTATCAGAGTTGCTATCATGTACCATAACTCGGAAAGAGAGATTTCAGAGAACAAAAAGTGGACATTTCAGTAAAAGGAATGGTGGGTGGACTGCCAGATGCCAGTTTCTGTTCCAAGCAAAAAGGTAATGTACACCAATGCTAGGGAAGAACAGCTGCACATCAACACCGATATCATCTCTATTTGGCACTGCACAGAGAGGAAAGCTTTTCTTCTCGTGGTATCAAAGGGAAAAAGTGTAAATAGGGTGAAACCTCCTACAGCTGAAGATTTGACCTTGAACCATTACAGGCAAGAGGGCAGCTTGTTTACAGAACGGGTGGCAGCAAACCGGTAAGCACAGGTAGTTCTAAAATAGTCTTTGCTCAAAATGAAAAGGGCAGTTTTCTTCCTAGTTTGAAATACAGCATATTTGCCAGGGCTCTTATCTTTACGGTGCCTGTCAAGCTGGCTGCCAAGCAATAGACCGAGCAAACGCGGATGTTTACAAGCATTAAGCGCACCGCTCCACAAAAAAAAAAAAAAAAAAAAAAAAGCAGCATCAATCCATTGGAAGAAAAAAAGCCTTTCAAAATGTTGCCTTTGGCTGCTGTCTTATTTGCATCCCGCCTCGGGAAGCTTGCAGTGACAGCCCTGACACGCACAAACCCTTCTGAAAAACATGAATGAAAGACCCGTATGATGAGGCGGGGCGGGGCGGGGCTCAGCGCCCTCCGTTCATGGCAGTATCACGGATGGACACAGGGAATGCCAATGGCCGTGAACGCAGCCCAGGCGGGGGGGGCTGCCGGCGGAACCTGCCTCGCGGCAGCACACCGACAGATCACATTACATGAACGTGGCGAGTCGCGGTGACGAGCCAGCGCCTGCCGCTGCCACGGCACACACTCCCAGCTTGCGGAGACGAGACACGCTCCCCTGTGCCAGCACAAGCGCCTTTTTCGACAGCCCAGAGAACGACTCCGGCAGCGGGCTCAGGGGAGCGGAGGAGAGGAGAGGCGAGCGGGCTGCCGACGGCCAGACCCCTCTTGCCGCTCCCACACACCGCCCCCGCCCGCTCCCGTAAACCTCCCTCTGTCCGCCGCCCCAGTTCCTCGCGACCTCCCTGCTCGCCCCCGGCTTTCCGCCACTCTCCAGCAGCACCCTTGCTCCCTGCGAGACTGCCACCGAACACCCCCCGCGCCCACGCCGCCTCCTTCAAGGATGAATGGAAGCGGGAGGAGGCTGGCTCCGAGGGATGCACGCGCCGGCCGGCCTCGCTCCATTTCTAAGGGAGCGCGCCTGGTTAGGGGCCCCCGCCCTCGCCGCCTGCCCTATTTTCCGGCCTGTCTTGGATTATTCTAGAGGGCATTCGTGTGATGCGCGTTCCTCCGCCCGCGCAGGCAGCGAAGCGGGGAACTCCGCCGGTTCCCCTCATGGGGCGGGCGCTGTCCCGGGCCCCGCATCCCGAGCCCGTCTCTGTTCTGTAGGAACACCACGCGCTCCATGTACCCTGCGATCCCCGAGCAGCATCCTCCCGGGCGGGCTGAGAGGCGGAGCCGCCGGTCCGGGGCGTGCGGGGTTCAGTCACCTCGGCCCGGCGGTTTTGTTTTTAGGTGCACCTTCGCCCGCGGAACAGGGGCGGGAGCCACCCGCTCGGGTCCGGCCGGGCCGCCCCGCGGTCGCTCCGCCGGCCCTGCTCCCCCTGCCTGGCCCCAGCCCCGAGCGGTAGCCGCCGCAGCCCCTCGCCAGCCCAGGGGGTAGCGGGTTTTAGGGCCCCTTCTGCGGAGCCTGAACTTTCCCTGGCATTTTCAGCGGGGAATGCGAAACCCACCCCTGTTTCCAGCCACCGTCCGTGGAAAACCCATCTCGGGAAGGGGGAAAGCGAAGTTTGAGGGAGCTCGACTCACCCAGGACGTTCCCGACGAGAGCCACTATGAAGACGACGATGTAGCCAGCGATCAGCGCCCATTCGTATTCCTTGGGGTGCAAGTACTCCTTCCAGAGGTATCGCAGGAACTCCTCATCATCGTAGTCGGAGGAAGGAGTTAAAAGAGCCTCCCGCGTTTCGTTTAGTTCCGACCCGCTCGTCCAGTTCCTGCACGGAGGGGAACCATCCTCGGGTTGAATTCCGGACATCCCTGGTGGTTACTCCAGGAGCTAGGGAGAAAAAAACGACAAACACAAACCCAGACCCTCTCAGAGCATCTGAGCTTTCTCCCGCCCGTCCATCGAGGCTTGTGGTTGCCAGTGCGAAAAGCGGGGTGTGGGGAGAAAAATGACGCGGGAACTTACGGGAACCAATGCGGGAACAGGCTGGGGATCCGCGTCGGTCCGCAACCCTCCCTGACCAGCCTTTTTCCCCACCGGCCAGGGAGTGCAGCCTCCGCGGAGGGGGTTACACCCCCGCCCGGTCAGGTAAAAAGCTGGTCAGGGTAGTTTGCATGCGTCAGGTGCCTCACCTGACCCGGCTGGAAAAGTCACGTCCGTTTCAGACGCCGCCGATTTTTGTTCCCCAAACCATGCACATGCATTCCCCCACACGCCCGAATCTCTGCACACCCTCCCCCTCAACCTATCCCCAGTCCCACATCTCTCCCCCTCAATCCTACTTCCAGGTTTTCCATCCTCTTCTGACTCCTTCTCCTCGGTTTCTCACCCTCTCTTGCACAAGCACTTCACTTTAGACCTTTCTACATTAGATTCCAGATATATTCAAGGTATTTGTAAATTAAAGGCTGTGGAAGGCAGTCGTGAAAGGAAACACAGGGTTAAAGGAGCCTTTTAAAAAAAGTGGCTAATGAGGCTCTCTCTGTGCCACTTTGAAAGCTGGGCTTGGTATGGGGCTAAAACAGGAATTAACCCTGGTGAGAAAATCCCTAAGGGTGCTGAACAAACAAGTGCAGGGTTTCATTGGATTTGAAGATTGTGAGATCTCACTTTAGGTTTGATTTTAGCATGCAGGCTAAGTGCACTGAGGTTGTTTCTAACGTCCAGCTTTGGATCTCTGAAGTGGGCTAAGCTGGCAGAAAGCAGTTCAAGAGAACCCAGAAGTGCTAGTTAAACAGTGTGATAGGATTTCTGGGTTCTGGTCATTGCTTCTTGAATTATTTTCATACTTTGCCCAGTGTACAGTTCCTGATAGAGAAGGGATAGGTTTGGACTTGTCCCTCCGTGACTGATAAAATCCCTTCTTATTCAGGTAATCTGTTCACTTGCTATCTGAATAATTTAATGAGTCTGATATAAGCACCATTTCTATTGTGAAATGGTACACCTCACTCAGTTAAGCATTTCAGTGCAGAGTCTGCACCTCCATAGGAATGGTGGGACTAATATGATGGAATTCTGCTTCCAACACATAAGCATAGTAGAGAGGCAGGTATCCATTAACACCGTGCTAAGAGTGCTTAGCTCTAGACAGTACTTTAGGCTCCTCAATTGTTCTTTATCAGTGTGCAGCCTTCTCTATTGCCTTCAAAGTTCAATGCAGCATACCTACACCTGGAATACCTGCTGCTTTTTCTTTTCACTGTAAAACAAAGAAAAAATTTCTTTCCTATTCCACAGGGAATTTGAGTAAACCTTTTAGTCTAAATATGTTAAAGAGTGAGATATACTTGGATATACAAGTAAGATCAGCATCTGTCTTACATAAATTAGAAAGGTGAAGGTTGAAAACATCATAAACAAAGATTAAAGAAACAAAGATCTGCAACTAGTGAAAACATTTAAGGTTATATTAGTTGTATGAATTTTGAGAGGTGATTTGAACTCTCCTGACAATGTGGGAATGCAGGTCTACCTGGTACATAAAAAGATACCTATTTAAAGATCTTGCCATGGTCTTTGCTAGTGATGAAGAGACTTAGAGAATGACCATTTGGTAATCAGTAACAGACACCCCACTCATACTACAGCTTGTTTCATATGCTAAAATGTTTGTCATTCCAGTATTTGCTTCCAAGTTGCCATAATGTCTGAAACAGGTAATGTCTTTTTCGACATAGAGTACTTTTTTCTTCCTCCTTCACCAATAGTAACCCCACCTGGAGTGCTGCATCCAGCACTGGAGTCCCCAGCACAGGAAGGACATTGACTTGCTGGAGCAAGTCCAGAGGAAGGCCACCAAGATGATTAGAGGGATGGAGCACCTCTCCTATGAGGAAAGGCTGAGAGAATTGGGATTGCTCAGCCTGGAAAAGAGATGGCTTATGGGTGACCTAATTGTGGCCTTCCAGAACCTGAAGGAAGCCTCCAGAAAGGATGGAGATGGACTTCTTACAAGAGTATGTAGTGATAGGATGGGGGGAGGGGAAGGATGGATTTAAACTGAAAGAGAGTAGGTTCAGTTTAGATATTAGGAAGGAAGTCTTTACTGTTAGGGTGATGACACACTGGAACAGGTTGCCCAGAGAACTGAGGGTGCCCCATCCCTGGAAGTCTTCAAGGCCAGGCTGAATGGGGCTTTGAGCAACCTGGTCTGATGGCAGGTTCCTTGCCTATAGCAGGGGTGTAGGAACTAGATGTTCTTTAAAGTCCCTTCCAACCATTCTACAATTCTACAAATGTTAGGGAATTGAATTAAGAGGGTATAAATGTTCAGAAACAACATGAATTTATGAAAATTATGTCTTAAGGCTCTTTTTTTTCAACAAGATTACAAATTTGATTGATAAAGACACAAATAATTGATTATGCAGATTAATAAGATGCATAAATTTGGTATTCCTAGAGTACTGTAAGACATTCACTTTGATTCATATAGCATATTCTGATTAGGGAGCAAGCTACTAAAAAAATCAATCTAGCACACATCATGGAAATTAAAAATGGGCTAGCTAATGAATCTCAGAATGAAATGGTAGATGAAGAATCATCCCTGAGCCTGTGCATTCCTACTGTCAAGTTCTTGGTTCTGTTACACTCATCATTCAATGACCTTGAAGAAGTTGACAAGTGATCCAAAGATCAGGTGTAATCAACTAAACGCACATGCTCATCACGAATCTGTAGCCAGAAATTTTCATGTGATCCTTGATTGTATAAATAAGTATACCTGTGAAAACAGATTAAGTTTCAAAGTATGAGTGAACCTTGACTTAGTGAAAATATTCACCATGTACAAAACTCTGCTACTAAGGAAATGCTTTTTAAATGGAGCCATTTTAGCTGTACCTTTTAAAATCAAGTTAAAATGCCTTTCTAAAAGATAAGTGCTAGCTCAAATGAGAATTAATTTAGAAAAGTCACATGACATGGTATGCAAGAGGTCAGACTAGATGCTTATAGTAGTCCCCTCCAGCTTCCTAATTTGTGAAAGTATGTTAGCAGAATGGATTCACCTGATGAATTTTAGTCCTGATTTATCTTTTTTAAAATAATACTATTTGCATCAAGCCTAGTTTAAATCTGTTCCTTTCATATGCAAGTATACAGCAAATGTTTCAAAGTACTTAGTTCTTATTTTGTCAACTTTTTTTTCCAGTTCAAAGCCTGTTTAATGTGGTTTTACAAACTTCTACAAACAAAGAATATATTAGCTACACAACACTTAAAAGAAACTTAAATTCAACTTCTATCAGCCTTCTTATCTCAGGAGGATACTGTCTGGTACTTTATTTAGCTAAAATGTTCACATACATTGATATCTCTTCTAATCCATAACTTTCCATCACTAATCCAAAAATACTGAAATTAAATTACTAGGCCTAGAAGATACGTCCTGTGGCTTTCAATGCCACTTGTCATTTGATATTAGACAGTGTGAATATAGATCAAACAGAATTTTATGCTTTATTGCATCTGATAGCTCACAGGAACTGACATTCATAGAGAACATACCAATCTTACTTCAGCATCTGAGTTTATTGCTTTGTCAAATGCATTTCTTCCTCCATAACAATAATTCTACTGCAGACTTATATTTTTATTAATTACAAAAATAGGTGGCATTTTTTTCTTCTCTTAGAGACTAGCCCTTTAAAATTAAAGTCTATGTGATTCTGAGGACTAGTTCCATGCTAGTCAAATAGCATATTAAATTAGGAACCTTTAATCAAAGTAGAATTAATTTTAAATTTTTTGCAAACTTGGGTTAAGAGTCAGCTGAGTTGGGGAGCTTTTTTTCTGCCTTTGCTGAATATTTTAGCAGGTGATTTTTTTGGGGAAGCAAACCACATGAGCACAACCACTGAAGAGAAACAGACTGCTGTGCTGGCAGAAGAAATGGACTATGTGAACACATCCTTCCTCCTGTTTTCCTTTCACTGTTCTCACTGAACAGCTTTTCTCTGTCCCTTTGTCTCTCTGGAATATGCCACATGGCAGTTCAAGAGAAAACCACCAGCCTTACTGTTTATTTACTTGAGTCATCCTGGTCAACCAAGTTCCCAATTTTGCCTGTGAAGCCCCTCTGATATGTTTCCTCCTATAAAGATACTTCAAGGTGGAAGTACTGCTCCCTGGTAGCAGCACTAAGTAGTTCCAGAGAAGCAGATGGGCTGTTATCAACTAGTGAAGCTGATAAATGAGCAAGCAGAGACAAGTTAAAAGAGAGGAAGACTGAAAGAAAAAGCCAGCTTTGGAAATCTATACAGCCATGAATTTCATTGGGGTGATAAGGGTAATACCTACCAGGCAGTAGTGTGCAAAGGGCCACAAAAGAAAAATGAATACTGTATTCTTTTGTGAAAAGAATGAATTAATCAGCAAACCTTATAAAGTAACATAATGATGGGCCATCACACAATGTATTTTCAGATGGGCCATCACACAATACCATTCCCTTTAGGTCTGTTCTTGTCTTAGCATCAATTCAGTAATGAATTGTAGGTTAAATATTCAAAACTACTTTTAACATGAGAGATATTATTCAATCCTGCTGCTGATTTTTTTGAACTGCATATGAGAAGCATACAATTACTCTTGTTTAGGCAACCTCAGGCATTTTTCTCTTTGCATGTAGAAAGCAGGATCCTGTTAAGCAGGATCCTGTTTTAAACAATGCAAAATCTTACTGAGGTACCATTATCCAAATATAGCAATAATATCAGCAACACTCTACTGATTTATTAGCTCACCAGCACCATTAAAATGAGACAAAGCTAAGATCACTTGCTCTGTTTCTAGCAGTGATCAAATAAGAAAGATTAGCTGTTGGTTATTTTCCATGCCATCTTCATTATTAATAACTACCAATACAGAAAATATTTGAAGTGAAAAATTCTGATTCCAGTCTCATTTACTC